GCGCAGCCCCTGGGCGCCGGGTGCTGGTGCTGGTGCAGCTGCTGCTGGAGGTGCAGCTGGTGGAGCTGGTGGAGCTGGTGCAGCTGGTGCCGGGCGGCCGGCTCGCGCGCCTCCGCGTCCCCACCGCCGCCAAGTTGGAGCGGGCCGAAGTCGGCCGCGCTGGCCGGCATGCCCGGCGCCGCGTACGCGAGGTGCTGGTGCTGGTGGTGGGGCGGCTGCTGCTGCTGCTGCTGCTGCTGGCGCCGGTAGAGCTCGGCGTAGCGCTCGCTCAGGTAGAGCTGGCGCGCGTTGCGGAGCACGTAGGACACCAGGAGGTTCTTGTGCAGCTTGATGCCGCCGCGCTGGGTCCGGGAGCTGTGGATCTTGCGCAGGGAGATGCTGATCAGGCTCTGGGCGTCCAGGGCGCACTCCATGCTCCCGCGGAGACGGTGGCGGCGGAGCAGCCGCGGCCGCTGCTGCTGTTAAGGCTGCTGTTGTTTCGGCCTCCAGCCGGTCGCCGGGGCGCGCTGGGCAGGGGAAACGGAGCCCGGGTCAGCGGGTCGGCTGCGCTCCGAGAGGAGCCGCCACCATGCGCTGCGCGCCACCCGCGGGCTCGTGCTCCCCAGTCGGCGCCAAAGCAATGAGCCTCGGCCGGCCCCGGCCCCAGCTATTTAGCCGGGCGTCCGGGCCCCGCCCCACACCTCATGAGCCAATAGGAGTACCCGGAGCTTCCCGAGTGACGGGCGCTGCCCGCCCCGGGGCCACTCGGCCAGCCAATCAGACCAAGGCGGTTCCTTTGTGCTATTCAAATACCGAACGGACCCCGGGCCTCCAACGCCGCCGCTGCCTCGAATGTTCTCCTGGGGCTGCCGTGCGGCGCGGGACTCGGAGCCGCTGGGGCCGCTGCGTGCACCCTGGGTCGCCTCTTAGCCGCCACGTTGGAGCCCGCAGCCGCCCTCGGCCTAGCTCCTGGGAGCCGGGGGTCGGCTCACCTGAGTGCGGCGGCGACGGCTCCTCCCCCTTCCGCACGGCTGGGCTCACCTGCGGCAGGTGCGCGCAACTCCCCACTCCCCGCCACGCGGCACCTCCTTTTTCACCTGCCGACCGCGGGTGACCCGCGGGACCCAGGTCTCTGCAGGACACTAATGGGGCCGCCGGCCTGACCTTGGGGACCCTCAAGGGAGAAAGGTTTGGAGGTACCTCAACCGCAGAGAATATTGGGCCTGACTCCCTTGACGTTTTGGCCAAGGGGTCTTAGGAAATACTCGGGGAAACGCCGTCCTCCCCCATTTGTCTGACGAGAAAACCCAAAACATGGTGAATTTTGGTCTCAAGAGGCCATGCCCTAGAGAGCCTATGGCCTCGAAACCAGCTGAGGTCCGAAGGCGTTCTGAGCCACACCGAGTGTCCTTATCACCGGTTCTGTAACCTTTCCTTTCCTTCCTAACTAATAATAATGACAATGAGGACTATTATTATGTGCCTAGTATGGGGCAGACCCCTGCCAGAAACACCCTGCATCCCTCACTGTGACTGCCTGCAGAGCAGGGACCCGAGTCTCCGAGGAGGGGGGTGACGTGTGGAATCGTACAGCTCCCAGGGTGCAGAGCTAGGATTTGTGCCAGGACTGTGAGCTCCAGACGGGAGGCGAATAACGAGGGCCCAGGAACTCTCCAATTTAAATTTTGTTAACACTGTTTCCCTTTTGCCCCGAACCATCCATGGGCCACCTCCTCCCAGCTGGGGACTGAGAGATCGGAGAACAGAGGGATAGGATTGCTATCTCTGGGGGCTCTCCATCTGGATGGGGAGGTGTGAAGGGGGGTGACTGCTGCTGAGTGGGGGGTCCAGGAGGTTTGCCTGACAAAGAGGTCCTTGCGTTGGCCCTGTGAAGGAGGACTGGGCTTCACAGAGACTGCTGGAGCTAGGCAGGCTTTGTGCGGGCTGGGGTGGGGGTGGAGGTCCCAGGAGCAAACTTCTTCTGAGTGCCCTCTTTTCCTTGGGTCCATTGTCCTCAGCACCTATTTTGTTCCTGGGTGGGAGCGAAGAGACCCAGCCAGTCCATCCTCCAGTTTCTGGGTCTCTCTTCGGTCTCAAGAATTCTCGAGATTTGTTTCCACAAACACTTTTCAGCTCTACTCAGGGCCAGGCATCAAGGGTGAAAACAAAGTTAGGGAGCATTTACCCCATTTTTCAGGTGCGGGAACCAGGCACTGACATCGGACAGGACTTGCCCGAGGTCCCACAGCTCCAGATTGGGCACTCTGTCCTCTCCATGCTGTCTCAGGCTGCTCCAAGCCCTTCAACCAGGTAGCATCTCTCTCTACCCCCACCCAGAGATGCCAGGATGGACATTTTAGGGTGACTTCAGAGAAAGGGCATCTTTCTTCCGTTCTATGGAAGAGGTGGTCTGGTGATAGGGACACACAAGAGTGGAATTTATCCAGGAGATAATGTGTGTAGGAATAAAAAATCCATTGCCCCTTACTTCCTTAGGGCCTGTCTTCAAGACACACAAAAGTTTCATTTATTTACTTTTGGAGTTCACCTTTGAGACATCACTGGCAGGTGGAGGGACAGGCGGGAGGTCCTATCTGGTTTTCTGGCCGTGAGGACTCCATATGCAACAGTCAAGTCTGGGATCCACAGTGTCTGGCCTGTTGCAAGAGTCCAAGAATGGATTATTAATGCTGATCTCAGGCCTTCCTTCTGTCCTTGCCCAGAATTTACTGGAGGAAACTAAGTGTATGGTTCTTGCTCAAGGTCCCATCACACAGCCAAGAAGGGGTAGAGGCAGGATTTGAACCCAGGACTGTTTGTAGGCCTGGACTTACTCTAACTTCTTTGAGTTAAGCTGCTTACTTCTGCCCTTGGTAGATCTGAGTCCAGTTCCCAGGCCTCAGTGCACACACTGTGAACGTGACCTTGATGTAATCAATGCCCGCCACTTTCATGCCGACTGCTCTGGGACCAGCATCTGCAGGTATCACAAAGAAGCAAGTATCTGTCTCAGCCTCAGCTCATCATGCACAGCCAGTCTCTGAGCTGCACCCCAAAATACGCCTCTGGGGGCCCAGATGGGGAATCAGTATAGGAATGGAGGTAGGTTCTCTAACCTCAGGAGGGGGTCAAGGGCTAGGCCCCTCACTTGGGCAGCTCCCCTTGGCACTTCCCAGTCCCCCACTCACCCCTGCCCCAAGGCAAGTTTGAGCTCTGCTAAGGCTCTTTCACTCCTGGGGATCAGCTAAGAAGTGGTCAGTCCATTTGTGTGACCCCGTTCTTTGGGCCCTCTTGTCCGGGGCCCACACTTACTTGGTTTCCTCTCCTTCTCAAGAATCAAGATGGGCCAGTGGGGAGAGCAAAGCAGTTGTCCAGCTTCATAAAAACCCTTGATCTTTTTTGGGGTGGCCTGGGACGGGGGAGTTGCCACAGCTGTTGTAACAAAACAGTTGCTGAAGGAGGCAATGGAACAGCTGAGCTATTTGGCGCCCCCGGGGAGCAGTAAAGCTGGGGGGCACACAGTAGGGATTCACAAATGTTTGTAGAATGGATGGGTCACACACAAGGCTTCTGTCCGGATGCACAATGGCTCAAAGCAGAGTACCGGAGACTGCTTAGGGCGGTGAGTGTGGAGCTGTGTGTGTGAGCATCCATGCGCATCTATGTGCAGAGGAAGGGACCCCAGACCTAAACCCCGTGCAGGAGGGAAGGTCCAAGTGAGACAAGGCTTCTTAGGGTGGAGAGCTGGCCTTATTTGTCTGGGCACCTGAGGAAGGTTTGGGCACTCACCTTTCCCCCCCAGAGCTGGGAGATTATATCTGGCACTGAGTCACCGCTCCCTGGAGGAAGTTAATTAATGCCTAAATATTTACCGAGTGTCTGCTGGGACAGCGTGGAGCAGGGCACAGAACCCATGGGGACCTGGGCTCCTGTCAAACCCCCAGCGGCGTCAGCCCCATGTCGGAGCAGTTAACACCTTGAAAGTGCTATGTGTGCCTTGTGAGCTCTTTCTGGTTACCCAGATGGCAGGAGGGAGGCACGGCTAGGAAGGTTCCTGCTCAGCAGTGGGATCTGCCTGGTGGGTTCCTAGCGATTGGCTTAGGGAAAAGGGATGCAAAGGCAAGAAGCTTAATTAAAAGTGTTGTGTTGGGGTGAGATTTAGAATTCATGCATTCATTGTTCATTTGCCCAAGAGTTATTTCCAGGACTGTCCTCTGGAATCCCTGCAAATGCGTCAGGGGATAAGATGTGATCCTGTCCTCAGGAGGCCACGATTCAGAGGGAAGCAGACAAGATAAACAGCGTGATAAGTCTGTGATAGGAAGAGGGACGGGGCTGCAGGAGGGCAAGGGAGGGCCCCAAAGCTGGTGTGGGAGGGCTTCCTGCGGAAAGCTGAGCCTTGGGGGCCAAGGATGGGGAGGGGCCTTCCAGCAGAGAACAGCTCAGGGCCTAGCACAGGGCCTGGTACACAGTAGGCTCTCAATAAATGCTTGTGGACTAAATCAGTCAATGAACCTAAGTATGCAGAAGATACCGTTAGGGTTAGAAGGGCCCTAGAGACCAGGCTACCCCCACTTCTAATTCCCACATGGGTAAACTGGACCCAGAGGAGGGATGCACTGAGAGTGTTGGCCTGGAGCTGGGACTCGAACCCAGCTGTCCCACGTCCTGGCCCAGTGCCTGGCTGCCACAGTTCACTGTCTCTGAGACTTGGAGTGTTGCTCCATGGGGATTGAGACTGGGGACTGCAAGCAGTGGCAGAGAAGGCAGTGGGGCGCTGCTGACCTCAGGGATCACTGTTGAGTCCTCTCCGAGGCCCAGGGGCTAGTGGCACTTGGAGGTGGGAGCCCTGTACTCGTCCCAGGAAAGCTGTTCTGTGGTTGGTGGGTACTGGGGAGCTCGGCTAGGTCCTGGAGCCCAGACAGCCCCCACCTCCTGCCCCACAGAACCAGTACCCTGTCACTATTCCTGGTGAATGCTAATAACCCACCGATGTCAGTGTTTGCCCGGCATGGTCCTGGGCATCAGGCTCGGTGCGCAGAAAGACGTGGCAGTCCCTGGGTTCGAGGTCCTTAAGTGTGATGAGAAAGATGAATGGAAACTTGGCTTTTCAGAGCTCTTGCTTTGTGCCAGGCACTGGGCCCAGTGCTTTTCATGGTGATATCCTTGAGTGCCCACACCAGCCTTTGAGGCAGGTTTGGGTATAATCCCCATTTTATGGATGGAGCCACTGAGGCACAGAGAACTTGGATGACTTGCCTGGGGTCACATACCAGAAAGAAAGGACTCCAATCCCAGGGCTCTGGGGAAGTGGGAGTACTATGAGCAGAGTAGCAGGAGAGGAGTGGAGACCCCCGCTATTCCTTTTGGATTTACTGGCCTTTCCAGCAAATCCTATACTTATTGATGGAATGTGTAGAGAGGGCAGATGTGATCTCTCAACTAGGGTCTCTGCCCAAGCACCTGGGATGGGCTGGATGTCTATTTGTTCATTCATTCATTCATCCGTTCACTCACTCAGTAACCATGGACTAAATGCTGGCCAACGTGCAGGCGCTGTGCTGAGCCCTGGGGAAAACACCAGGCAGCTCGCACAGCCTGGAGCGGAGCTGAGGATCCTCTTAAT